GTAGGGAAAAATGCCGTGTAAGTACATCAGCTGTACTTGGGTGAAACCGTGTGTCACAACTTAACTTTGCCGAAAGGGCGAAATCCTGCTCCCCTTTCTTTCCTTCCTTGATAGCTGGCCATGCACTCCATCCCCTGCCTTGCTCCATTTTTGGTTCTCTTTAAATGAAGCAGTGTGCAGGTTCAGCTTGCTAATTTGACACTACAAACTGAATTAATGTTCTGCTGGGTTAGTGAGTTGAATCAACCCAGCAGAGGGTCTGACAGGCATCAAAGCTGACAAAAGAAGGAAGGGGTGGGACTTGGGCAGTGAGGATCACAGGAGAGAAGAAAGAGCGGGATCTCCCTTTTCTCGTGGCCCATGTGCTGTTCGGATCAATTCTGCGGGAGTATGTAACTTCACTCTTAGGGTACTTTAGTCTGGCTATAAATAGGTTTAGATATACTAAGGAAATCGTATGTAGTTTGCCTTGCGAAACAGCTATATAGGAAAAGTTCCTGTGTTCAGGGGCAGGTGTTGCCATTCTTTGGGAATGGGGATCCCCTCTAACTCCACAGAGCAGATTAAAGTTCTGTGTCACCATTTTGAAGGCTGTCAGCCATTACAGCATTGCATATGCTCCATGCATTTGATACCTCTTTACTTGTATTGGTTACGTACAACCAAGTAAGTATTAGTGAAACAAGCTGCAGAGTTAACTGAAGTAATCTAGAATTCCTTCTTCAAAGCTTTCTGCATGAATAACTTTGGGCTCTTCTCCTTTTGAGTCATTGCATCCCATATTTGGTATTGCCAGGCTGAGAGATAGTTCACAGCTGCTGCTTGCTCAGTGGGTATCTAGCTCTGGAGCCGAGATGGGTGGCTCCTCTCTGGAGTGCTTAATTGGAAGATAACAAGTTGCTGAATTTCCCCTGAGAGAGAGTAGAACCTCCACCCTCTCCTTTCTTTTCCCTCTGAGTAGATAAGTAGATAGGACCAGCAACCTCGTGTCTTGTGTTTTAGTAGCGATGAGTACCTTTGCCTTACGTACCGTAACTGAGCAGCTCAAGCAATGGATAAGTTACTTGTGGGTTCATAAACTAAAGGCAGTTGTCTTCCTTAAAGTTGAGCTTCCCAAATTTATCACATTTGTTTATACATGTTCCATCTTGGCTACAAAAGGCTTTGCTGGCATTTAATCTCTCTGTCTGTCTTGGGTTCAGTAGTTGAATCAATGCTGAGGTCCAAAAAAGGCTAACATACGTTACATATATTATTGTTGTTACCGTAATCTACTTCTTCCCTTTCTTGCTCTTATAATAAAATCAGCATTTAAAAGATACCTTGTTTATGTTGCAGAGTTGTTGGCCGCCCACGATAACAGGAGGCATCTCGCCTTGCATAATTATTGAAACGCCTCACAAAGAATCAGTAACCACTGACTTCTCAAGATTCAAAAAATACAGGTTCAGAAACCTCTTCATAAATCCATCGCCTTTGCCAGAACTCAAGTAAGTTTACCAGATGCAACAGTTGTTGATGTGTTATCAAATATGCCGAACTACTGTAGTAAAATCTGTTGTTGTATTGTGTTTGTATAATAGTGGGCAGTACTCAACCCATACCTCTACTTGTCTTCTCATCCCACAAACAATCTGATGTCCAAAAAAAAGACAGAAATTCTGGGTTCTCTCCACACACACACATACACACACACCTCAGTTTTATAAACACACTGGACAGATAATTTTCATCTTTCAGAGCTCTCCTTTTGTAACTTAACACTGGAGACTCTAAGTGGTTAAGAGGCACGTAATGGTTAAACTAAACTTCTTTCAGTGCTATTGGAACTGAGTGACCAAAAAATACCAAGCAAAGTTTTCTTTAAGAACTTAAAAATATACAGATATGTAAATAAACTTGTGGCAATATTGCTGCACAGGTAGCTTACTAATGCAATGCAGTATGCTTGGGGCAGTCACAGTTCTAGAAAGTTTCCCTTCTGCAGAGGGATAGACTAACTGACTAAATTGGATTTTTCAATTTCTGAATTTCTTAGACATTCAGGTGTGTTAGATGAGTACCTCAGTTGCTGTTTGTATCAGCCTGGTGTTTAATGAGAGAGTTGTTAAATTTACTGCAATGCTTCAGGGGCAACTTCTGCTGAGGTGAATGAGAAGAGAAGCAGAACATGAAGCATTACTTTAAGAGAACCTTTCTAGATACACCACTTGATCAGAACTGGGAGATGCTGCATGGTGATGTTCTGCCTCAGTACAAAGCAATGTATCTCTTACAGTCTCTTTCACTGAGTTTCAAACTCAGTTGCTCTTCTCTCTCAGTATTACTCTCAAGCCTGCTGAATATGCTGTTCCCTGTACCTAGCAAATTACATTTTTGTGTGTGTTGGAAAGCTTAGTGCAAAGTAGTTTTTTAAAAATAATAATCGTAAAAAAAAAAAAGGATGGTGAATGAGGGAATCTCATGCACTCCTTTAGCAAGTTGTTGGAAACTGCTGGATCCCAAAGATATGTTCAGATACAGAATTCCATGGAAGGAGTTTAATCCTTGATGTTCACCTCTTGTCGACAGGCATCTGGTAAAGCTGAGCTCCATCCTTTCCAATTAGCTGAACGAGAGGATCATTTACTTTTTCCTGCCTTCGTAACTGCTGCAGAAAGATCATAATAGGAGATGTCTCAATGCTTGCCCACTTAAATAGGGAGACTTGTGCCTTAAAGTAGCAAGTATCTCTCCAGGTTTTAACTTATGATGGCAGCAGGATGGAACTGATCTGGGTTAGAATTTGTAGGCGATACCAGTGATCAGGTCTGTTTAATCTCTTTCTGCTTTTGCATGGGGAAAGGTAAATATATAACTCCAAAAAATTTCAGTAGGAAATCAGCATTGCATTGATTAATGTGCTGTTTCTCTTAGTAACTGTAGGATGAGAAGTATATCTAAGAAAAAAACCACATCAATTCATAATAACAATAATTGCAAATTAAAATCGAGCCATATTAATGATGTAGGCATCTTCTTCCCAAGTAGACTTGAGTACTAATAAATTATAAATTAGCAATAAACAAGAACTCGGGTTTTCTCACAATAGCCTGTTTCTGAGCCTTAAGGTAGGCTAGAAAAGGAAGGGATGGATGAGTGACTTTTAAACACCATCTGTAAATGTTTTTCTCAAACTAAACCAGACAACTTCATATATGTTTTGTGTTTCTTGGGGAGTGGGGTGGGTTTTTTTCTTATCTATGGGGAAGGTCTTGGTTTTTATCTTGCTCTCTGGACAGCCACCTAACTAGGCAAAATAGGAAACTCTGGTTGTATGTGCAACTTTGGGATGCACACGTTCAGTTTTATTGGCTGTTCTATAAAACTGGACTTGCTGATGATCTTGGCAAGCTGCTGTTGTAGTGATGTAAAATGTTCAAAGTCTACCTGCAGTTTTCTAATTACCATAAGGATCTTTTAGTATGTGGAATTTTTCTTTTTGTTCCTGAATATATGTAAACAATAAATAACGTTTTTATACTCTTTTTGTGAAGGTGTATATGTACTTAACAATGCTTGTAACTTTATTCCATAGCTGGGGAAATTCCAAAGATGTCTGGCTCAACATCCTGAAGAAGGAGAACAGATACGCTCACTGCAAACATTTCACATCACTACATTCTAGTTTGCAACCTCACATGAGATCAATACTCTTAGACTGGCTCTTAGAGGTGTGTTCTTTTAGTTACTTTGCCATGTGTTACGCCTGTGAAGTAGGCAGATAAAAGCACAGCTTTTACATAAAAGATCTAATAGCAAAATGTACTGTATGGTAAATGCTAAAACTGATCTGCAGCAAAAAGGGTTACAAGTTACTGCTTTTGATCCTCTTGATGAGCTACATTCAGTCTTACCCTGCAGGAGACTCTGAACCTTCCACACAGGGCAGCAAGCAACAGTACTAAATTTATGCTCTTGCCACGCTTATTTCCTGGCAAGGGGAGAAATTGCACTGAAATTCCTGTAGACAGATCAGTTATGGAGCTCTACCTTTACATCTTAGACTGTATCTAAGCTATGAGACAACTGCATCTGTCCTGAGGACTTGAGTTACCACCCTAGCCCTGTCTACATGTATCAAGAGCTCTCGGATGTCAGCCCTAACACTATTTTCTGGCTTACTAGTACTTTTTTAATTCCATCCTATGAAGAGAGCAGAAGAAAGTAGGGCATTCGTGGCTGACATCTGAAGGCTCTTGATATAGACAGGCTCTTGTTGGAAACCAGTTAAAACTAAATCATCAATTTTCCAGTCCAACTACTGTACTTCAGAGTATTCCAGTTGTCAAACAAAATGGAAGTTCTCAATCTTGGCAGCCTATGCAAAGGAGTATTAGTGTTGTAAATAGAGAACTATGTTCTGGAGGCGTTTCCAAGAACTCTATTGAGCGTATTCAGTCACCACTGCCAAAAGCAACCTTTGACTTATGCAATCCTTGCCCATCAGCAGAAGGAACCTTGCAGGTTTGACAGCTCCATATCGAGTACTCCAAGGAAGCAGATGTTAGTGGCACTCTTGCTGTCTCGGTGGACAGGGAATTTCAAGGGAAAGGGAAGGAGCCGAGTAGGTTTTTTGTTTTTAAAAACATGGTCTGAATACAAAAAATATTCTAGTTGTGCACTTCCCTACTTCCTTTAATGTGTAATTTACATACTACCATTAAATCGTGTTTTTCTGTGTTTTTTGAAAATCTTGAACTCTTAGGAAATCATCCAATTTCCAAACAAAAATGTCAACAAGGGCCTTGTTATTGTCTGGCTTGGCGGTTCTGTGTGCCACAGTGGATTAAAATCCCAGCAGTTTTGAGAGTCCTCCAGTAGCTCCTAACACTGTCTTCTGTAACATCATAACTGAGATACTATTTAACATGATCAAGCATCGTTGCTTATGTTTGGGCAGTACGCTTTTATAGAAATTGTGCCATTTATTCATGGGTGGGCCTGGTCTGTATCTTTTTAGTTCTGAATCTTCTGTGGAGCAGTATTTAATAATACCAGAGTAGCACATCAGTTGGCAAATATTAGATCAGGTCTAAAAGAATGAGCTGTGGTGTTACTGCCAACCAGTTGCATTTTTTGTTAGTCAGGAAGGGTTTTAATTTGCAAACAGGCTTTCAACATTATCTTAGGAAATAGCTAGTAGTAGTGAGATTTTATTCTGACTTTGTATCCAAGCGAAATAATGAAGCAGGGTAGGAAGCTTGGACTTGGGATCTATTGCTTGGATATTCTTTCCTGTTGACCGTATGTAGATCGTAAGTAATTTATAGATATCTAACTAGTTTCTGCTTGTAGAAGGGATATAGAGTTGCAGATAAGTTGGAGATGTAGTAGACCCACCCAAATTCAGTTAGAGATCGGAGGGAAAAGTAGGCCTCTGCATAAGATCTCCAGGCCTGGGCAGTCTCCTTTCCTTTTTTGGTGAACTGGCATTTGAACCACTTTGAGACAATGCAAGTATTAAAAGTTTTCCCTGCCAGGGAAACCCACAACTGTATGGAGCAGATGGCCATTCCTGCAGTTTTGTTCCTGCTTAGTGAGGCTGTCGGTGTGCCTGAGGGCTGCGGGCAGCGCTCCTGGCTTGCCAGCAGAGCCCCCTCGGGCAGGAGCTTCCAGCCTTATTTGCTGTAGAGCCAAAGATTTCAAGGGTTTTACTGGTTCTGCCCTGGGACAAGACCTACTACGAATACAGGGAGGATCTGCTCAGTGACTTCAACTTCAGCTTTGAGCCCAGAGTATTCTTAATCAAGCAAATTAGCGGGGGTTTTAGCTGCCCCCCCCCCCCCAAAAAAAAAGGAGGCTTTCTTCTTTCAGTGTAAAATTGTTTGTACTCATTTTTAGGAAAACTGGATGCTATTTAGATTGGAAAAAGTATACTTTGGAAGTATGTTAGTGCATCATAGACAATCCATGTTTAGGTGGGGGCATAGGAGATACTTTTTCCAGCCCCGTACTAACCACTACATCCTAACACAGCTGGGTATGTGATAGTTTGTGTGTACAAAAGATAAAATTGTGCCTACTGTGTTTCACTATTAAAGCTTGAAGACTCCAATGTGTCTACATAGAGTCTTTTAACAGAAAACTGAATTTGTTTTTTTTTCCTGTTGTAGGTATGTGAGGTGTATGCACTCCACAGGGAAACCTTCTACCTAGCTCAAGACTTTTTTGATAGATTCATGTTGACACAAAAGAACATTAACAAGAGCATGCTTCAGCTCATAGGAATTACCTCATTATTCATTGCCTCCAAACTTGAGGTAAGAAGCTCTGTTACAGGGAGGAGGATATTAAGTTTCGAATAACTAAAAAGACAGTGATAACATATTTATTTCTTCTGTCTGAATCTTTTGAACTTGGTGGTGTACATACACACTGAAGGTCAGAAGGGGAAATTTTTTCTCTTCCTTCAGTTGTGCATATGTCAATCTCTTGGAGTGTAGTCTTTGTCCTCCCTTTCCTCAGCAGCAGGGAAGGAGACCACATAAACTTAAAAGGTATGCAAATGTGCTAGGAGTAGTTTTGTTTTGTTTTGTCTTTTTCCAAATGTACAGCAATTGGCAAGCAGTCTCAAGAATGGGTGTGGGACTTGAACAAAACCAAGCCTCAGTCTCAAACTGCCTGTACATCAGGCTGATACCCCTTCAACCCATTTAGTGGAGGGTTTTTTTTGTTGGGGTTATTTTTTTTTTTCTTTTAAAGATAATGTATCAGTGCAGTGATGGTGATATGTTACATTGCGCACTACATCTGCGAGCCCAGAGCATATTTTTGTGTGCCTCTTTTTGTAGGTCAGGATAGGCTAGACTGAGAGGAAAATTTTGGGTATTAAGTTTTTATACTTGGAAACCCCCCGATCTAGCTGTTCCTAAAGCCAAGGCCGTTCCCTACAAGCAGTTGTCTATTCTAAAGAAGTGCGTGGGGCATCAGGCCATGGAGCCAGCTGGTAGAGAAGCAGTTCTGCTGGCAAGTTCTCTTTTACTAACACACCTACCTATACGTGGCCCCAACTGGCATGACTTGGTTGGCAAATTTCTTTGTTAACTGTCTCTGCACCATGGATTTTGCCAGGTACAGTGGCTGTGGGACTTTTCTCTCATCTTGTTCTAGCTTTTTTTTTTTTTTTTTTTTTTTTTTTTAAATCAATGAGACTGCATCAGCATTAACAGATGTTGTGCATAACCTGTATTAGCAAGCCTTTTCTAATACCCCAGTGTGCTGCACAAGAATTAGGGTGGTGTATGTTTTTACATGAAATGGAATAGCTGAGTAGAAAGTGGTATAAATGAAAGGCTGTTCCAATTGCTTGATCAGCATTTATTTCCCCAAAAGCTAAAAAAGTTGCGATAAATCTGTCATGTTTTATAACAGATAACATATAACCTACTTGTTTTTAGTATCTCCTCATCCTGTAAGTTTCAAGTCACTTCATATAATGAGAAAAACACTCTTCTAGCCTAAGAAATGTTAATATTCCAATATAGACTGAAAAGTATTTGCCAGTATCCTCTCAAGCTTTTCTAAGAATTGTAAGGCACTCTAATCTTCACTTTTTCCCCTCCTTCCCTTAAAGGAAATCTACGCTCCTAAAATACAGGAATTTGCTTACGTCACTGACGGTGCTTGCAGTGAAGATGATATTGTCAGAATGGAACTTATTATGTTAAAGGTAATAACTTTGCTGTGTTTGTAAGTGCCGGTTGAAAGACCATCCGGCTGAGCCTTGTGTTTTAATGGCATTTACCTGCTTAGAAAATGAACACGTTCTGTATGTCCCTCTTTCTGCAAAACAGCGAAACCGTCATTGTATGTGCAGTGGACCTCTAAAGCCCCTGGCTGGGGTGAGATCCCTGTCTGTCAGAAAAGGACAGGTTTCTCGCGCTCATATGCAAGTAAAGGCTCTTAACAGGTGCAGCCAGCCACGGGACAGACCAGAAGGCTGTCGCTGTAGTGTAGTGCACTTGCCAGGGTCCTTTGCTGTCCAGGAACAGGGGCCTCTGGAGAGCCAGGCAAAAGCACTGACGCTACTCGGTGCTCCTTATGTTGGAAAAGATCCATCTTTACCGTCACAGAGCTCCTTGTACATTTATTCTCCATGAGTAGATACTAGTTGCAGGTTCAGGCAGCTAGGTAGCCTGAAGGCTCGGGGGAAATACTCTAATTTCCCAGCTTCTGAATGGGGAAGATACGTAAGATCCAACTGCACGGGGGTTGAGATAGATATATTTTTTGTGCCGATTTTAGCGCAGCCTGTTCAAAAAGTAGTGAGAATGCGATCTAAAATATTTGTACTTGAAATTGTACATAATCTCTTTAGCGTCTTCTGAGGATCCGTGCAATAAGCTGAGCAAGCTCAGAAGGGGAGGTACGGGAAAAGCCATCAGGGCACAAAACTATTCTTGCAGGGTTTAAGGTGCTTACCTGTTTGTTTAATATTTGCAGGCTTTAAAATGGGAACTCTGTCCAGTGACGATCGTCTCTTGGCTGAACCTCTATCTTCAAGTGGATGCTCTGAAGGATGTTCCGACAGTGCTGCTACCTCAGTATTCTCAGGAAAAATTCATTCAGATAGCACAGGTAGGTAGTAAATTGTATTGGAAAATGCTTTTTGCAGTGAGTACAAGCACAACTGAACATTACACCCCAAAAGCCATTGAAGAATGCTTTTCCTTGTTTCACCTCACCTGTTACTTTGTTAAGGAATGTGCAGTTTGACTGCCAGAGGACTTCATAGTAAGTTTTAAGGACAAGCACCCATGTGTTTCTTGTCCCCCTGCCCTCACATATTTTAAGACTTTTCTGTACAGTGGAAAAATAAAAATCCATCTTGTGTTTTTTTTAATTGCTATGTGCTACAGTGGCAACAGGAGGGTGGGTAATTTAGGACGCTATGGACAGTTAACTGTTTTTACCTGTATTATCTGTAACAGTGTTTCTGTGTATTTGCCCAGAAGGCAGTCCGAGGAGTGTTTTGACTATTTTGAAACTGCTGTGGTTCCATTTTTATGGGCACGTGTTGTGTCCAGCCTCAGAGAGGCTTACTGAAGAGTAGACATGTCGAGGTCACCGGGCTGCTAGGTAATAGTTTAATTGAAGAAAATACCTTCTTGGAGCTCTGCTAAGAGTTTCAAGGTGTACTTAAACCCGTGCAAGTGAAGTGTCTTGCATGTTACAAATTGCGTATTACAAAGTGCAAATTGGTTTGCATCATAACTCTGTGAGACCCACTTTAACTGCAATTGATGCCAAAAATAAATTAGATGCACACAAATGATCCTAAAAAGCTCAGCCATGTTAGAGCATAGAGTGTAGGGGGACTGCTGTATGCACAGCAGCTTCTGAGACAGGATTATACTAAAGTATCATCTTGTTAAAATTTGTAACTCTTCTTTCCTCCACTCTTTACTTCCTCAGCTCTTAGACCTGTGTATTCTGGATGTGAATTCTTTGGACTTCCAGTACAGAACACTAGCTGCTGCAGCGCTCTGCCACTATACCTCAATTGAAGTAGTTAAGAAAGCTTCAGGTAAGAAGCTTTTGTAAAGTTTAGTCTTGTTAGGCAGGGAATTCTGAAAGCTGTTACGTGCCCGAGGCTGCTAAGAGTGTATTGGTTTACCAGGCTGCCAAAGAGCAAAAGCTCCATGGACACCAATAGTTTGTTCTTCTCTTCTGTGGGCGTTTCCCTCGCCTAATTTCACTTCCTTCCTACCACTATTTCAAATGTCACAGACACTCAGAAAAGAAGGAAACGCTTTCAGAAGCATAGCCTTAGCTAAGGAAATGAAGCAGATTTATCCTTCTTGCTTTTGGGCTGATACTACTGCTCTGTGACTGCCTGTTGTTTTGGGGATTGTTAGCTATACATTATTTGGCTACTTTTTCTCCTAAAATGTAGCCAGCCACCAGTCATCCTCAGCTGCCAGTGGCATTCAGTTAACCTGTGTGCTAATTCCTACAAGCCTGTCCCTTATAAAGTTTAAAAAAAAAAAAAAAAACACCTTAACTCCACACATTAGCCTGTCCCTTATAAAGTTTAAAAAAAAAAAAAAAAATCACTTAAGCTCAGCACTTGTGTGTTGCCTGTGGTAGCATAAAGGACTGGGACAATAGCGTGTGTTTTTATAGTGTGAACCAAAATCTTGTGCTCAAGCTTAAAAAGTTGTGTCAGCCTCGCCTGGTAAGCAACAGGAACCCTCATGGCCACAGAGCCGCTCTGCTCTGCTCAGGAGGCCTGTGCCACCAGCCTCCGCCACAGCGCTCTTAAGGAAGGAGCACAAGGAAATGCTGGGAGTTTCTGGGAGGATGTTTCTGACTTTTTTATCTGCAGTATTAGTTATTGTTGTTTTTAAATTTATGAGCATATTGGAACACTGAGCAACTCCCCCATGGTTTCTAAATACGTTACTGTGTCCTACCCTCTAGGCTTAGATTGGGACAGCATTTCAGAGTGTGTAGAATGGATGGTTCCCTTTGCGAGTGTGGCAAAAAAAGTCCCTGTGAAGCTGAAGAACTTTAAGAAGGTTGCAGCAGAAGACCGACACAACATCCAAACACACACAAATTATTTGGACATGCTGGTAGGTGGCTTGCGGCTTTGCAGTTGAGGCAGCTGCGGGTGCATTACGCACCCCTTCTCCTGGGGCAGCTAAGGCTGGCCAAACCCCGTCCCGCTCCCACCTGGCCTGGCTCCCTCCACCAGAGTGGTCAGCGGTGCCCAACCTTTTGCTTCTTGCTCCTGCATGATGATGCCATAAACTAAAGGTGTTTTACCACAATGCTCGCAGGCTGTAAGCAGAGAACTGGTGCAGTGTTTGTTTAAAAGATAATAATCTTCACTTTGTTGTGTGACGCCGCCTGTTGGTTTTTTTTTTTTTTATTCAGTATCCTAACTCTGGAGTACTTGAGTTGTACTAGCAGGGTGAGGAATATTAGCGGAACAAAAAAGTAGAACTTGTCACAGGTATTAACTGTTGTCTTCCTCCCCGATACACAGGAAGAAGTTAACAGTGGAGTAGCATCTACTGCCCCAGGTCAGTTATCACCCGTGTCAACAGGAGGAATAATAACCCCTCCCAAAAGCACAGAGAAGAAATGAAATATGGACAAACATCACGAACAGTTTCAGAAACAGGACTTGGTGCTTCAGAACAAGACCACACTAAGGGTGACTCATGCTCTTTACTGCTATTCGAGACTTAGGCAGTAAAAGACGCATCAAATAGAGCAGCAGATGGAAATTGCGCCTGGTGTCCTCCTACAGACTTGATAAAAGATTTAGACCAAGCATCCCTCCATGCTGTCGCAGGAGCCTGGACTACTTTGGTGCATTCTCAGACATGACTTAGTTCAACCCTGACCATTCCTAACTTATGAATTTCAAGAACTTTTTAAAAATGACTGAGTGGCAAAGTTTGTCCGCTCAACTTACATGTCAAACTTGCTTTAAACTCGGGCTAGCCCTACAGGAGAACTCAATGACAGCTTGTACATATTACCTCTTCTTGACTTTTTTTTTTTTTCCCCCCCCTCCTTTTCTTGGTAAGGTCAAAGCTTACTGCCTGCCAGTTAGTTGCCCATGAGCTCAGGTGCAGTATTACAGAGGTCAGTGGGTAAGCTGTTTACTTTTCTGAAACCACTCTGCCCTTGCATTACAGCGGAGCGAGCCCTGTGTCAAATTCTAGCTCACAAGGAGGCTGATGAGTTGAAGGTGGCCCGTTAGGGCTGCCATGAACTTCAGTTCTAGTGTAGTGCTGACCTCAGGTAAGAGTACAAGCAACAAACGTGCTGCTGAAGTAACCATAACTGGAAGAAGTACAGTCCTAGGAGGAAGGAGTTCTATTTTCTAAGATCCAGCCACCAACTCTCAACAAGAGCGAACATAACAAGAACTGGAGAGGGTATGGAAAGGAGTGAGCCGCTGGTACTCTACAACCACTCACAGCGTAGGAACAGTGTTTTAAACTAACTGTGGAGCTGTATGTATTTTATCAGTGTTTATAAACAGCATTAACTACTGTGTTTTCCTTGGAATATTCACTACCTCTGCCTATGAGGTGCTTCACTTCTGTGATGAAGGGACACAGGACTGGGAAAGATGGGTATTGGCCCTCTTCCCTCTTTTGGGATGCTCCCACCTGTGCCCCACACCCAGGGACAAGTTTTACATGACATTGAGCAGCCCACAAAGCTGCACTAGAGCCTCAAGTGCCATCCACATTAAACTCCTGCTAACTTAGCAAACTTGAATGCATGTCTTCTTGAAACAAGCCATTGTGGAACTAGCTGAAGTTGCTTCCAGCCTTCTGTACAGTTTGTAAAAATAAGGGGTTTATTATAAGATTTCATCTATTTCTAAAAAGAAAGATACTAGACTGTAAATGTTGTATAAAAATTTAAATGAATTTAAAAAAAAAATAAAGTCTTGAAAGATTTTTTTTCACTTCCACACATTCTGTAATAGTCTTCCAGCATTAGCCTAGAAGTAAAGTTTTGCCATGGCTTGAAGAAACTTCTTTTTTCTTCTCTGCGCAGCAAGCTGTAGGACTTCCTCGGGATTGCTGGCATTCAGCTCTGTCTGGCCAATGGCTTTTATCTTGAAGGAAAAGAGGAGACATCACTAGCAGCGGTCCCTCTAGTAAAACCCTTTCATTTCAAGGCATTTGCAGCCCTAGTTCAACAGGGGATTTTTTTTCTTTAACATTATGCCACAAAATTAAAGCTGGAAGTGGCAATTCTTTTCAAAGATGGTTTCAGGGGAGGAAGGACACACCAAGGACATCCCACCCCCAAGCACCCTGTGTTCACTTACCGCTATCTGCCGCTTGTCTGTCTCACCTCTTTTGTGGTGGAGATCTGAGGGTGAGTCAAGAAAAGACACTTGGGTAGGAAACAGACTTTTCCCAGCTGTGACCATCCAGCATGAGCTTTCCATAGTGCTATTCTAGTGAAAGGATACATGTCAAATACTCCAAAATTGTGACATCCCAGATGTATTCATAATAAGAATCCATGGCATCGTGGCTGAAAGAGAATACAAGGTTAGATTACCCAACACATTCACATATTGTGTATATGTATTTATAAACTTTGTTGTGACATTTACCTGTTTTGTTCCTGCAGTGCCTTAAATGCAGTTTTATAGTCTACTTCTCTGAGGAATTGGCATAAAATAGCTACCTGTAAGGCAAGACTCACGAGTGATTTTCACAGCCTTAATTCCCCACAAACTGAAATCTCCACAAAATACCTCGGTAATCCCACCCCATTTCTAGACCTAACCAAGGGCTGGTTTGCATAGCAAGCAAGTTCCGAGTACCTGAACTTCGAGAGCGTACAAAACTCGTTCTGAAATATCGGCAACAGTAGCAGCTAAAAGGAAGAGGAAGGGTTTTTACCCTTTTACCTAGCTTCAGGTTTCTAAATGCATTTAATAGCTCTTAAATCAGAGCCTAAACACAAGCCGTGTTAGTTCTTGGAGAATGAACAATCCCACTGAACAACAGCCACATGGTTATCATGAAGAACAAGGCTGAAGTGGTGTACCACCAAACGGTGATACTGCCCCACAGATACCGTACTCTCTTTCAACTCTACCAAAAAAAAACCCCAAACCCCTCTATCCTAAGAGAAAAATGGGGCAACCCCCCACCCCCCGACTATTTCTACTTTTTACAACATTTCCAAGTATTTACTCATTAATTTGGGTCCTTTTAGTGTCCTAGAAGCAACAGTAACAACAAAATCTATTTTATTGCAGATTCCATTTACAAGGAAAGTTGGAGTCAGTTTTACTTTTTAGAAAGTTCTCCCCCACTTTTAACATCAAAATACTTATGAACTGGTGTTTTATTAAATACCACATTTCAAATCGTACCTGGGTGTGACAGTTGAGTAAAGAACAACACTTGATCATTCTTTTTATCACCTACAGAATGGTTAAAAAACAACACACAACTTTTGAAATGTTTTGAAATGCTAGTATTGGAACACAAACAGCTTTTTTTTTTTTTTTTTTTTTAAATACTAGGGACCAGCTAAATAAGTACATACATTCTTCTAACCCCACCCTGCCAACTCCCGGGGTTTAGCACATCCACTGATCAACTGAGCTTTCATCACTTCGGCGACTTCACAAGAGCACGATGTGTGCTACAGAACACAGCGCTGCATTTCTGATCAGAGAGCCGGGCTGGGGTCTGTTAAAAACCTTCACCTGTATCTCCTGCTGCCCACAGAAGAGGCCTGGCCTGGGTGGGAACAGCACGGTGAGTGGGCTCACGGACAGCAGCTCTCACAGCACGGCAAACGGGTGCCGGG